GGAATAAATAGATAGCAATTAAATAACAAGTATTAATGACTTATTTATTAACATATTAATAGTTGGCCTGAGAGTAATAAATGCAAATTAGTGTAAAGTGGTACCAAAATTTGTGTCGATAATAGGCCCTGAAGTAATCTTGTGTGTTCAAGATAATTACAAATATATTTTCCTTTCAAAAATCTACTGCCGGGTAATTTTTTATGGTTTGCTATAATATCATTTTAAAATTAGAAAATTAGCCCTAGTCTCATTAAAATAATTTTGCAGTGCATCAGGCTTTATTTCAAGTGTAAGTTTCACATTATCTTCTTGCCTACAGACCTTGCATTTTTTTTTTTTTCCAGAAAACCTCCTTATATGTCAATATTTTGGGCCTATGCTTGGTATACAAACAGTTTTGTTTCAGCTTGCTTCTTGCACAACTTTTCTTATCGTTAGTATTACTACATAAAATGTCTCACTGAAAGCAGGGGTGGTACTTTGAGGACTAAGTCCAGAAAGAAATCTCTAAGGGCCGTATTTATTCCTTTTGATTCCTGCCAATAGCAATTGACCTGATAAATAGTTCAGAGGCTTTAGACATGACCAAACTGATGCACAACTAACAACCAATCCAGTCACAACAGATCCTACTTAAAAGACCATGTCTGGTCGGTTGTTTTACTAGAAATACTTCCCCACCCCCCTTGTTTTTTTCTTTTTCTTTTTCTTTTTTTTTTTAATTCTTACTTGTTTAGGCAAAAGAAAACTCCACCTCATACCTTATCTCTAAACTATTACTTAACACTGGAAAAGCGATTACTCAGTGAGGACGGAAAGACATTGTGACTTTTATCAGTTCTAGATAAAAAAAGAAAAATCTTGGCTAAAATCCAGGGTCCTGACTTCATCACTGATCTGCTAACAGCACATTAAAATATTCCTGTCTACCACCGGTCCTGATTTTACTCGTTCTAGAATCTGATGACACATATCTAGCACGGGACTGTATCTAATAAAAGATTAGCAAATATTCAGCTCTGCTTCCATGTTTGTAACAGGAATGGAGGAATGGGGGCCCAGGCTTCCTCCTAGCATAGATGTACACAACACTGCTTCAGCACATGGCTGTTTCTAGAAGTATTTCTGTCTGCCTCAGTAGGTGTCATTTTTATTTCTTTGCAGCTTTCCTCGTTAAAGGCATTGTAAATGGCTTCTTCCAGAATAATCAAGGGCCTTTCTGTGAGGTACAGGGCTACGGTGGCTCTTCCCATGCAGTGCCCTCCAAACAGCTACGTAAATGTGATTGTGGCGTGTAATCTGTGTACCTGGAAATATAATTCGTTTTGTTGCTAATGAAGGTCCTACGGCACAAATTTATTAAAGGTACACTTTTCCGTGGGATAATAATTGGGTCGATAATATTAAACTCATAGGCTCATTATTTAATTGCAAGGGCAGATTATGAATACAGCTTCTAAAATGTATTTTAATGAAAAACACTACATCCTGACCTAATCATATCAACCTTATGCTATCTAATTAAGGATGCAAAAAATCATTAGAGTTGCAAAATATTAGTTCCAGCTCCATCAGGCTGTTAGCTGCCCCTTCATGAATATATATATTTTTTTACTCTATGATAAATAGTTAATGAGGTAAAAATGACAAAATTTGCATGTAGGCAAATTAGTTTAATAGACTGATGTCTTCCTGGTCTACAGAAAGTGACCTTTTTCCTATCAAAAGAAAGACCGAAAATACTTTGAAATGATGGCATGGATGTCATTCCACAAATGACAAATCACTCCTCTGAACAATATAAAAATTATAAAACGCAATAACCTTAAATTCTCATCATATTGTAAATGTGTCCTCTGCTGCTGCATTTATCAATTTAATAAAAGGAAATTAAGCATATTATAAAATACCCATTTATGGGGCAATTTTTAATCCAGCGAATAAAAATGAGAAGCACATGGTTAATAGCAAGAAAATATTGCAAAAATGTAGACCTATTTTTTCCAGAAGGTTTGACTGACTATTTACTTGAATGACCTCCATTTAAAATATATTTTTTATATGGAGTGATGTAAGATATGGCAGTCTCTTGCTTCCCTTTATAAAAATTGTTCACAGTTAATTTCGTATTTTATTTAAAAATTAACACATTAATAATGCACGCAATAAGACCTAGTGATGTGTCTTCCATACTGATTACTCTGTACAATTAGACATACAAAAAGAAAGGGACAAGATAAATACCTTATGCAAATCTGTGGCAGAATAAAGGGTCTTTCAGTATCTGCAATGCCTAGGAGCATAAAAAGACCTGCAAATACAGCTCCCAGTCTTGCAGGGAGATGCTCCATGTGGAGAACATATTTCCAGAATGGAGCAAGTTTTTATTACAAAACTAGATTTGCCAAAGAGCTAACAACATTTCTTTTAATAGTTCCCTTTCTCATCAAAATAATACCAAAAAAAAAAAGGAAGAAAATAAAAAAAGGAAGAGAATGGGAAGATTTTGGTTTTTGTAGACTGTTTCTTTGTTTATTTTTCCACTGTATTTGTGTTTTGTACTGATAATTCAGGAGTTTTGAACAGCAGTCTCCACTCACAAATTTTCCCCATTGTGAGGCAGATCCTGTGACCACTGCAGTAGATGGTAGAAATCATCTCTAGAGATGCCAGTGATGCAAATTCCTGTGCCCTTTCCACATTGTTCGTATCTTCTTTCATCACATAGTCTGCACCAGTACGTCCCCCAGAGAACAGGAATGTTTAACACTGTCACAGCCTGGCTTTTGCTTAATACATATCATGCCTTTTGGATGTAAAGGAAAAGGCATGAGGTTAATGCATACGTAGACAGAATAGGAACCAGAAACTTAGGGGCTTTAGTAAAGGCAAAATTGTGCATTACTTTGCTTTGTTGAATGAAATGTGCTGTTCCCTGTGTAACATTGGGATTCTTCCCTCTATTCTGACTGCACCCTCTGAGGTGCTGGATCCATCTGAGGTTGGGCCCATTTTAAAGGATCTCAGACTTAAGGTTCCACATTTCAGTGTGGCCTTTCATGCATGGTAGGCTGTGTACCGGGAGCAAAACTAGGCACTTACACGTGTCTATAGCTATGGGTTGTGCTTTTCAGTGTTCTGTCTTTTGAAATTTGTCTTACTGTAGCAGTAGACAACACATTCAGGTTTCCTCCATTCAGACACAGACTATTTGTATACAGAAAAGTAATTTTTCTTTCCATTCTTTTCCATTTGTCTTTACCCCCACACTTCCTCCTTTCCTCCCACTCTTCTTTTTTTTTTTCTTTTTTTTTTTTTTTTTTCACCTTATTCAACCCTTTTTGTTCTGCTGCAAGAAATTATATGCTGGAAATATCATTAGAAATTTATTCAGAACTTAAAAGAGAAATGTAGTTGCTTGTACTTTCCTCATTTGCCACTTTTTCCATATGCCACTGGTGATCCTGGCATAGAAAATTTGGTCCACTACATGTATTCTTTGTGTGACCTTACTTAACTTGTAACAAAGATAATAGAAACCAATTGTCAGTGGTTATATTTTGACTTATTGCAGAAAGTTTTGAAGTATAAAAAAAAAACCAAAACAACTTATTTTACTTATTGGGAAAAAAAAAATTAGTTCTATCTGTACAAAAAGTGGGAATGTCTGAGGCAAGTAGTTGCAGAAGCACATTCACTCTTTCAAACCTTTTCCCTCCCATCTGCTGAAATGCCATGTGGTGCTCTACACTTTCCCACAAAAATTAAGCTTACTGAGTATCTGCTTTTTCATTCAGTTTTTCCTTTCAGGGTCCAAACTGTCATCACAGGGAAAAAAAAAGTGGAAAATAATTACAGCTGTGGCAGATGTTTATAACAGTGACAACTGAGGCTATATATTTATATAAACTGCTGATCTTTCAGAGGTAGTTATAGAGATTTGAAAAACCTGCAGACCCTAATCTTAAATCCCTTGTTCCAGAGGGTTAGAAAAGAAAAACAAAACAACTCATACATGCTTAAGAGGACTAATTTCCTTCCTATCGGGAATCTGTTCTTTTTTACATTGAAGCAGGAGAGTTACCAAACAAAGCATTGTACACAGAGGCATTCACAGATGTATAAATTGAAGTGATGAGCACTTTATGAATTTTCTAAGAGCTGGTTTGTAAATTAATCCTATGGGAATTAAGAACACTGATGCAAAGCTAGAAAGCAAGGAAGAATAAGTCCTTCACGGAAGGAAAACCATGTCCCTCAGGGACTACTGACCACGTTACTTCTGCTATTTTCAATTCTCTGAAAGCAATTATGACCAGAAGCCTCATTTGTGTATGGCATCTCCACCACTGGACCCTTTTCAAACACAGAATGTATCTCCTATACATCTCAGTTTAAGGTCTTTATATGGGACTAGAGGCTAGGGGCTTAACAGAAACGGAAGAGGAATTATTTTGATAACAGAAGTAGAGTACCTTTCCCTGCCACTGTCCAGCTTAGCCCACTCTTCTGGGCAATCCTGGAGGAAGAGGGCCAGGGAGAAGAGCATGGCTGTCATATCCGACTGACCAAACTCACACCCCCTTCTCAGGGCAGCCTCACCTATGCCCTCCTAAGGAATGAATTCTACTTATTCATGGAAATCCTCAGTTTGCTGAGCTGCCTGAGAAATTATCTGGGATGATACTGACATTAAACCAGTAGTAAATCTCTAAGACCCAGTCAAGAACCATCAGATGTCACAGATAATTTTTGACATCAGTGATGTCTCTAAGCCTTTGGTTACTAAGCAGATTGTAACCCCTCAGGATGTTCAGGCAATGCACATGCAATGTCACAAAATTCTCCTGAACATGCTGTTTCTTAGCTTCTCCATTCAATGAAGCACCCTAATTTATTTGGGTTTTTTATATCTACGTTCTTTTAAATAACACCAAGAAATACTAAGCATTAATTTGGATCACAAACTCGTTTTTCAGACTCTGTTCACCACTCACCATCCGTCTTTCACCATTGATTCCTCTCCACTGCTCAGCCCTCTTCATAATGTAGCTCAGCTCCTGACTGGAAATCTCCAAGTCCAGTGGAACAAAGAATGTGTCTTCCTCACCATGAATACGCTGAAATACATCCAACAGCCAACCTTCGCTATGTAGCCTGAGGATAGAAATGACATATTTGGTTCATCTTCAAAAAGACTCCATGAAAAAAAAATAAAATTAAAAAAAAGTCATTCTTTTGTAGGCTTCTGTTTTGGTTGTCCCTTCATGGCCATGGTCTCTGCCCATGAGTAAGAAGCTTCTTTCCCACAAGTTCTCCAACATGCAGCCCTCCCCAGCCCTCTGGAGAATTTACAGTACCTGAATCAAATCACATAAATGTAAACAGCAATTTAATTTGATTATTTAAAGATATTGACTTCCCAAAGAGATCCTGATCTTCCTTCCCTTCCAGCATGTCCAATGTCTGTCCTTAGCAGCTGGCTGGGTAACTAGTTCCAGTAGCACGGTTAGACATGAATGGAAGTCCTGCTGTGCCAGGGTTCAATAATGGGCAAACCACATCATATAGAAGGGTGCCGCTCACCCTTTTGTTCAACCCCAAGCCTGAAGCCTATACAATCTAAACTTCTCTTGAAGTTAGAAAAGTTAATTTCATTTGTTGCCTTTGTTTTTTCTGTTCTGTGGTAAGGAATTGAATAAGCACTACGCAGTAAAATTTTCTACCACAAGAAAGGCTTGCTGTGTGGCATTTCTTGATGTAGGTGAAACCAAGAAATATTGTGGGGCTTTTGTAAAAGCCTGGTGTTACATTTTTAGCCTAAAATGAACTTAAAAACATCAAAACACTGCTGTTTGATTCAAGTGGATCCTCTTCAACTAACCTCTTTCTTATTCTACTTTTATTCAGAAAACAGGGGTTCAGAAAATCGAAATCAGAAAATCTGGAATCTGAGTTTTGGATATTGAACTGAGGTATTTTCTTTTGTAACCTTTTCCAAGATAATGTTTTACTCAAATTCAGCTGTTTCTTGGTGCCAGTTTCAATATTTTCATCTTTCCCAGAGACTGGCTAGGTAATCATGAGAAGTGCATGCATTGCTGTGGCACTGCAACCAACAAAATGCCTGGATTTCTGTGGGGCTGTTCAGGTCCTTCATTTCTTGTCAGGTGGGAGAAGAAGCACAGGCATAACTCCTCAGACCCTCTGAACTCTCACCCTTCTCATGCACAGCAGCACCAGCACCAGTTCTTGTCCTTATCCTTGTACTGGCCTGTATGTGGTGAACAACGTGTGTGACTGGGAGAGGCAGACGGCTGTTCACCTAAACCAGAATGAAGTTCACATCCACATCAGCTCTACATCACACTTCACACTGCTCACAGAAAGTGCAGAGCAGCACATTCAATAAGCTGCTTAGTACAAGTTTGCCCACAACTGAGATTTAGCATGGAACAGAAATAAGGAGATGCACCAACAGAAAATTTTTCAACTTGATCTTGGAAGGAGCTCTAGCTTTCTCTTCAAAGGGGAATGTGTACCTTAAGGTCAAGCACCATAACCAAGAGTTTCTGTGATGAAGTAGCTATTCTGATTCCAAAATCTGGCAGCCTGGTTCAACATCAGATTAACAATTTATATCTCAGGCTTTGCTGCAAAGGTTCTCTCTGTACTTTTTTTCCCCACCCTTCTTTTTTGAAACATTTCTTTTTTTGAAGCTGCAGCCCTAAATTTACTGCAGTTTCTCAGATGTCATTTTGGGATTCTCTTATCAAAAGGGGAGAGCAGGTAGAAGATCATCTAACCAAGATATAGGTAGTCTGGGAATATAAACAAACTGGCTATCAAGAAATAATAGAAGATACTCTAAAGTGTGAAATGCAAATCAGTGCTAAATCAGAGTAGGATACTAAAGTAGCCTAAAACACACTACAGAAGAGATTTTTTTTTTTTTTACATAACTAGTACCTTCTATGTAGTAATTTATTAAACTCCACAGTATCTTTAAAGGAAAGTTTTTCTCTCAGTCTCTGAATCTACATCAACTGGTCTTATAAACAGATATATTTTTGCAAGTATTGACTCATAATTTAGAATTATCTTGCACTTGGTTGAAAAACTAGCAATTAAGCTGGTGAACTTTCTGACCTTCTGTTCATGTTGAAGCAATATTATTCCATGGTGTTTGTGTTTGACATTCCAGGTCAGCAATTTAAATGGCTTGCCCCTTGTTTGCTAAACAAGAGAAAGACCTTGCCATTTATTTAAGCTCACTTAATGCAACATTCTTATTTCAAATTAAGTAAAATTTAATGCAGTTAAATTACTGTCTATTTGCTGCCATAAACATTTTCTATATGAAGATTTTAAGCACATGGTTATAAACAATATAATTAACTTTGAATTAATTAAGAATCATGAAGCCTGTATTTCAGCTTTGTTCCTTTTGTCCAAAAGTACTCAGCCTGCTAATGTTACCTGCTTTCTTTTCTTTAGCATGAAAACTAATAAAACACTTCTTATACCTTAATATACCTTGTTATAAGTATGAGAATATTGTATTGCTAATAAAATAAAAAGAACAAAACACAGATCATGTTTTCTAGACATATGAGAACCAGTAGAATACTGTACAAGTTTATTTACAATTTATTTACCTATCAGAAAGAACTGAAAAACATTGAAATTATTTCCTACCCAGAGTCTGATTAAAAAATGGCCTGTTCAAAGAATTACACAAACCAAAAATTAGAGGGTAGTTCTAGTGGTTTGAAACAATTTATTACATCTTAGCTTGAGCCTTTCTCATCCTTTTTTGGGAAACCACCATTGAAAATACAAAACCAGTTTTGCTGTTAACACTGAAAAATGTAGATTTTTGAAGCTTTTCCCTGAAAAATGTTTCAATACCAGGAAATTCATATGCTTTCCACCAGACACTTTTCATTCAGACGGGTCTGCATTTTGTCACAGTGCAGAAAACATTTCACAAAAAAACTACTGTCTGTTTCTAATGTCTAGTAGAATTAAAAGGAAGGAATTGCAACCAGTGCCACTTCATTGTTCCAAAAAGTAATTAGAATATCTCTCCATGCTATTGCACTACAGACTCCCAAGACAGAGAGGGAGAACCAGATTTATTGACATACTTTATAAAGTTTATAAAAACACAAATAGATGCTTACTGCTACTTAACCCCTGCCCATTATTTCATTAGCTTCCTGGCTGTTCACTGGTGCTGCCATGAAGCTTTCTATCTGTGGCAGAAACAGACACTTCCCCTGCTTGCTCTGGTGCTCCTGTGGGTTCAGTGTTTTTATCCCTTCTTTTACACACTGTCAAACACTTCCGTTTAATGGCAAAAAAAAAAAGCTGAGTAATTCCAGCAAATAGTACCATGTCCTTCATCCAACAGCCAAAGTCTCTCCTGTGGAATGAAGTCTTAAGACACAGAAGGTATCCCTCAATATTTATATTGGTTTACCTTACAAGAGAAAAATGTGGTGGATGCTTATTTTAAAAATATATGATTTCTGTGCTGAGCAACATTCCACTTGAATATATTTGAGATATGGGGTCTGAGAAATATTCACACAAAGGGATGCTACTGTCTTGGCAGCAATACAATTCTCTCCTGAAAGCAAATGCTGTCATGTTAATATTCAGGAAACAGTGTTATGAAATGCAGAAATGTTATCCTTAAAAATACTTTAAAAGGTTTCATTTCTATCATTATTGGGCTGACAGTGTGCTGCTCAAGAGTCCTACCTAGGTCCAAGTTTCCCATGGCATTGGCTGTAGATGTTCAAAGAGAAAGTTGATACAACTGCAGAAGCTCATTATATAACTTTGCACAGACTCAGGTATTCAAAATGTTTCCTTTTGTTATCAGGCAAAGAACTTCAAAGACCTTATGCACTGTAACAGATTTTGTTGTCTTCCCTTTGCTTTTGTATTTTGCTATGAATCATTTTTAAAATGTGTTGTGCTAAGACAACTTTTTTTCCCCCTAGTAACATTATTCCCCCACCCCTTTATTGGAAAACATTACGGGAAAATTGATCCAGAAGGAAAGATACCTTTGATGATCTTGCACCTGTTCCCCAGACAATGAAGATGTTGGTAATATTCTCATAAAAACCTGCCTTACAAATGTTTTAATTTAAATTAATTTTCCTGAGTAATAAACGACAGCAGCTAAAACTTATGAAGCTATTCAAAACTATTAAGTCAATGATTAAGAAGGCATTAACGTCTCAAAAACTAATTAACTAGACTACCAGTACATTGGAGTTGTGTACAGCTCCCAGGAATGTAGGAGCTCTGAAATACTTTGCAGAAATTTAGATTGCCATTTATCTTTTTCTGCCTGATGCAATCAAGTTTGTGGAAGGGAGACCAAGGGATGATACAGTCAGGTGGAGGGTGTATGCTGAGCTTTTCTGTTCTTACACTTGCCTGAAAATTGTCTTTGCATGTGGCTTTTTATTGGTGCTTGCCAAAATTCATCACTGGGTGAACACTACTGCATCATAAACAACTCAGGGGAAAAAAAATACACCTTTTCATTCAACAATCTATCTAATTAACTTTCAGTGTCTCACACCTGTCCCTACTGACTGCACTAGAAAGCTGACAAGAAAGGTAATTGGTCAAATTTCATGAGGAACTGAGTTTAGAAAATGGGATAATGTCACAGAAACATTATTTGGATTAAATCTTGTCATGATGACTCAGTCACAGGAAGTCAAAAATCCTGTATCATCAAAAGGCTGTAAGGCTCTGGAAGCCACTGCAGATTCAGGGATTTTGCACTTCTCATCATATGTAGCTTTCTGAAATTTTTCTTATTTCTCACGAAACCCCTTCTTGTAAGGCTAAAGACAACATCTTCCAAAGTATCTAAATGAAAGGTACACACACTTTACAGCTTAAGCCCTTTCATAGGCACAATTGCCTGAAGCCAAAGAAGCAGAGGCTTCTAAAGTCTATGAAATTCCTGATATCAACTGTGCTCCTGTTGAGGAAATAAGTGACTCCATCTCTGACTTGCTCTGCCCAGCAATCCCAGTGCATTAAAAGTTAAGCAGGAGCAAACCCCTCCTTGATTATCTGCAGTTCTGGGCTCTGGGTGTGTGACACTGATACATCTTTTCTGATGCCACCTTATCTTATCTGACGGGAGAAGAGGCACGATCCTAGGCTATATCCCATGTGAATAATGAGATTAAAAGACATACCTTAAAAAATACAGGTACAACACTGTTGATGAGATCATGAACAGGATGGTATAAAGCATCACTGTGATTAATGCACCAGGAACTCCTGACTCCCCTGCTCGTAGAAACACCCAGGAGAGTTTTGCAGCATCAGCAATGGGTTTCTCTACACTGTTCCCAAATCGCTGTCATGGAGAAAAAATCAACATACAGAAATATCACACCTGATTAGACTATTGAGACAAAAGAACATTAATCTCTGCATATTAAGGATTTAAATGTAATTTGTGGGGCACACAGCCTGAAACTTAGGACTCTGCTAGAGCGAATTTTAAATTAATCACAAGATGTGAAATAAACTATTTTGTCTGATTTTAGTACAATTAAAATCAATGAGACAGAGGTGGCTTATTGAACAAAACCCATGTCACGCTGAAAATACTCAAAATGAAATCTCTTAGTGTATTTCAGGACAAGTGGCAAGGGAAGGAGGCTGATATTTCCCTTTATGTGATGACCAAGGACACACAATATTGAATTAATTATTTTCCAAAAATCTATTATTTTCCTTTTTTATCTTTTTTCTTCATATCTAGTTCTAAAGAACTAGCTACTGTATTGACATATTATTGCCCTCTGCTGGATCAATTTAGAAGAATTCAACTACATATCATGGGTCTTCTACTGCTCTGAACTAAAATAAATTCCTCTCTCCACTTTTGCCTTTTTAAAGTCACACGGTGACAGCCCTGTCCATATCAGATCGTGTTGACACCTTTTGCAAGGATGTGAAACTGCATCACCAAAGAGTCCAGTGTCCATCATTCAGAGAGGATCTGTGTGACCTTTAGGCTTCAAGAAGCCTGAACCTTTCTGACCAACTTGCCTAGATTAACCCTTAGGAAGTGTCAAAACTTCCTGCACATTTCTGGCTACCTTTGCAAGGACGTGTATAGTAAGGGAATGACAACTACCAGTCCAGCTATAGAAGGACTGTGATGCTTGAGTACTTTTTTGTTCTCTCGTCACCATTTCCAACGCTGCTACATCTCTGTCATGGAAATTGAAGCTCCTAGGAGACAGGTAATGACATGTAAAGACCAGTCACTAATTTGGATCTATCTATATTTATTACAAAAAGAATTAAATACTCTGGTTCTCTTCTATCTCCCTGTCCCATCTTCTCTTGATGGAAAAAAAAAGAAAAGTAAAAAAATAAAGTGTCTGCTGACAGTGCTTTCTGACTGAAGCAACTGTCTACCAAGGAAAATCCTCTGCACAGCAGTCACGTCCTGACATTCCTCCAGAGAGGCAAAAGTCTGAATGGCAAATAAGAATAAATTTCTCTCTTATCCAAGCAATTCTCTCTGGCAAAGCAAAAGGGGTGTGGGAGAACTTTACTTTTCTATCTTTTTTTTTCCTAACAAAGATACTCTGTCAATCTGTATACCTTCTGTGGTCTTCAAAGACATAATCCAATAAAGGTGTCTTCATTTTAAATAGCTTAAATAACATTTGTCAACATCTCTCTGAGGTACTTATCACACCACCACACGTGATGGTCATGTGAGCCTTTTGCAGAATCTCCTGTTTTTCATAATGACACCCATCCATGTGGCCAAAGAGGTGTTATTGTTGTCCGCATTTTGGAAGCCACAGACAGACAAAGTGAGTGAGATCCCAGGAAAGCTCTGACAGAACTGGAACTTGAACTGCATGGGAGTGTTTCTTATCCCTGGAACATCCTTCTACAAGCTGACAGTAAATCAAATCTGAAATAGCACATTTGACACAGCATTTTGGACTATGACTTGAAACCCCCCCCAAATATGCAACTGCTCTCTAGCCTTTCCTTAACAATAAAAAACATTAGTTAGTAAACACAGAAACCTTCGTCTCCAGGGCTATCTGTCATCTTTCATAAGTATTAAGGCCATTTTGAATACTAAAATACATTCTAGCATTAAAATAACTCATATTACCACAACACAATATTTAAAAAGGCTTGATCTAAAATAGATTGGCAAGCAAATCTGAAATAGCTGCTGAAAGAATGCCAAGAAAAAAAAAATTACAAATGCAATAATGAAAACACATGTAAGAGATATAGTTTCATTTTGGAAAGGATACATACAGTATATTGTGTAATATTTGAACAAATGAGTTTCTACCGAAGATAATCTTGGTGGGTAAGACTGCCAAATTTTCAGTATGAAGTATAGAGGAGTGTGTACATTTTTAACACTTTAATGAAAAACTAAGTTTTTTTTACTTGTATCTCACGTTTCCCCCTGACCAAGTGCTATTTGAAATTGATAAGTAATCCAGTCTGTGTAGAACTGAGCACAATTCCACTGAAGTCAATGGCAACGATTTTTTCAATGCAAGTGCGGGAAAGATAAGGTAGACCTCATCCTCTCTTCCAGTTTTTATGAATACACCAGTATTAGAAGGGAGAAAAAAATCCACTTAAATATTTCAGTATTCTTACCCTGGTTATTGAGGAAATACATATTTTTCTTTTAGGGAAAAAAAATCTTATTCCAAATAATTACAATTAAAATTCAATTCTGTGCATATTTTACATCATTAAATTTAAAAATAAATAAATTAATGCAAACTGTCCAAGTGAAAACTAGAGAGTGCTGCCACATGCTTAAAGTATCACAATTACCGCTCAAGTGAGCTCCAACTAAATTTCTTGAAGAGCTAAATTTTAACTTTCAAAACTACTGCAATGGAAAACAGTGTGTAAAGAGTGGAAAATCACCTGCAGAGCACAGGTTAGATGACGAAGAGCCAAGAGACCTGAGAAAACCTGATCCACAACAAGACCTGTGGATTAGTGCATGATCTGGAGTGTGCAACTGAAACATAGATGACTTTTGAAGACCAGCAAGAGCAGAAGAGGAGCAAGACCACAACCCCAGAAAAGCTCTCAGCATCCTGTAGCCATTGAAAGGAGCCTGTGTCACATACACAGTGAGACCCAAATTTGAAATGTGTGCTCTGGGATACTGGGCATTATCTCAGATGTGATGAAAGTCTGCAGCCACCCAAGTACAGTTGGGCTACACAGCCCGTGCACAGGCACAGAGAGAGCTGGGAACTTTGCTCTCCTGTTTTTACATATGATGAAACTCTCTCCTGAAAGATGTCTGTCTTTCCACCTCACAAGTCTTTTTAGGTGTGCCAGTAAATTATATTAACTACCTTGCATGTCAGAGAACTGTATGATAACCTCTATCTTTTCATTTTGTCTGTTTCGATGCTTAGAAAAATCTGAAATGTTAATAATCAGGATTGCTCATTAAACCATCTCCATTAACATCCAAAATTGCAGTAATTCTTTTCAAAGCAGATGCAATCACTCCAGCAGTGGATTTACTTTCTTATCTCCAAATATGGCTTGTACAGTGCTCTTAATTTTATGCAGAAACACAGTGACTCCATTAGATGGGAATTTTGTTAATAAAAAGGTAATGTATAACATTATTATTTAATTTCTTTTTAACTTTCATGTTTCATTGCCAGGGGTGGAATTTCATATCTTTCAGTGAATAAAACAAACTTCTACATCAAGTTCTCATGTCCAAGTTATTTTAAGTGACTCACCCCCAGGAACGAATCCACTACAAAAACTGCCAAGGGGTCTAGCACTGTCCATAATCCCATAGCTATGATAAACTTTGACAAGAAGGAAGGGAATGAGTCAAACAGCTGCTGACAGCCCCATCTGATCAGGACCATGAGAAGCAGCCCTGCGTTCAAGGTTAGGGGTCCCACCACAACCATGGCCAATTCTTCACTGGTGTGCAGCAAGGAGTTCTGGTAGCACAGTTCCACAGTGTGAGGAAGGAGCTGGAATCTGTAAACAAGAAAAAAGAGAGTGTTTGTCTGTGCCCCTGAGCAAGCCATTGGAAGAAAGTAGAATCATGTGTGCTGTGTTGTAAAGTTGCATCCCTATCTGGGTAAAAACACTCTGACCAAAGACTGTATGAAGCCACTCAAAAAAGTAGAATTTTCTCCTCCTCCTCCTGTCTCTGCACACTTGGATGCCCTCTGACTCTGAGTTTGCTGGGTACACATCCAGGCTCTAGGGATTGCTCAGGAGGGGCTGTAGGAAGGTGTTACCTCCCAGATACATCAACACAAGCACAGGCCCCAGGAGCTCACCTGTCTCTGCACAGCAGCACCTTTGGGCATTGCACAAAGCAGAAGGTGTGCTATGGAAGACACAGCTGTTAGCACACCTAAAGTGACTGGAAATGGCTCTCTTGCCACCATGAGATGGTGGGATTTGCAAAGCTCATACCATGAGCAAGTTTGCTGGCTCTGTATGAGACAGGAACAGCACGTTATTGTGAGCTACACACAGATGATGAAATTTGAGGCAAAAATTTCAGTCCTATTGAAATGCTCAAATTCTGCTCCTAACCAAAGATTAAGTGGTTTGATTCTCAGTCTGTTCCCTACCTGTGAGTGCTACCAGTACGTTTGCTAGGACTAGAGAGTGCTCAGCTCAGTCTCATTGTTCAGGCACACAGTTAGAGACTGGGATGCTGATCCAGGGCATTTTGGCTTGAGACCATTATCCTCTGTCTAGCTGACTGCCTGAGACAGCTGTGACTAGTGGCTTTGAACATGACCACCACTCTCTCATGCATTGCTTCCTTCTGTTGAGTTTCCTTTCTTTTCACAGGCTCTCGATGCTTGGCCTCCCAGAAGTTTTAGTGCCAGCTGGCTAAGTTGACAGGGGCTGTGCAAGGCCAGAAGTGAGAGATGGCTGGCTTTGCATTAAGAACTAGAAGACAACCTTAACAATACCCAGCACTGTCCAGAGTCTGCTCAGACACCTTGTTCAAATTTCAGCCAATAATCAATACCACTACCATCCCTTTGGTCAGAGAGCTGCATATTACTGGCTCATACTGGCTGATTCAGGTTGTGTGATGCTTTAAGATAAATAAAAGAAAGAAAAGATTTCTATCAGAGAAATATTTCCTTTCCTAAGCATGATGGAACATTTTTGCTCTGTAAAACCTTTCTCTACCACACAGAAACATGAATAGTGTCAGGTATATATCACCTAGTGGACTTGTACTCCATCTTTGGGTTTTTTCATGCCAGGTAATGACAAGCAATTATTTTCCTGCAACACTCTAGAGAGGTCTAATTCCTGATCTAAAGTCAATGTATTATACAGTTAAAATATGTCAACTCATTGCAGTACTCACAGTAAAACTGATATATCAAAGTTAAATTCTCACAAGCATTTTACTCATAGATCACTTTGGTAGCATGAAATATGATTCAAATGCTTCTTCAGTTTTGTGCACTCCCTAGGCATTTTGAAATACTTCATCCAAATTGATAAATTATTCTTCTGAAAGATACATAACCTGCTGAGTATCTCAGATGGGAGAGAGGTAAGCATGACACAAGACTTGCAAATGGACACGTCATGTTCTGGGTTTAAAGTTTACATTACTAACACCTTCACCTGATATGCACATTTACATATCAGATCACTGGACTCTGGATGCAGCCCTTGTTCTCTTAGTTTCTGCAAGGAGGCCTATCAGAGCTTGCATGTTGAGCTCTCAGCGTGATCTTAGCCATCAATCTCTTCATATTGGGAAGGACCTGCTTTGAATCAAGCTATTTGGAGAAATATCCTTACAGAGGAAAGAGGGTAGCAGGACTTACTTTGCAACAGGAACTGAGATGGTCCAAAGGAAGAGCCACTGGCTCAGATAATGCAAGTAAAGCCTCAGGAACCAAAGCAAAACTACCAGCAGTGTGAGCAGCCAGAAGTCCCTGGAGCACCAGCGTGTGGGTCCCAGCTCTGAAAAGGCTGCGTACACCACGAAATGGAAACGCTCGACAACCTGCCTGGGCAGTTTGACTTCAGCAGCAGAATGGCAGCTAGAAATACATGGAAACAAAACAAAGAGTAACAAGTAAAAGCATACAGGGAGCAGCAGTTGCTAAAAGACTGCAGAGTTCTGCTGTACAGATTATGTGGCACAGGTTCTGATCACAACTTTGATTAAACAATGCATCTGACATTAAAAAGAAAAAAAAAAAAGTCTTATCCATGGCAGTCTAGGTGAGAGGTGTCTTCCTTCCAGAATTCATGCTGCCACTTTTACAAAGACAACAAATCACATTTAAAATGAAGTTTTTGAAAGCCTTTTGATTTCATTTTTATTTTGATTTTTCTCACAAATTGTTCTCTGAGGAACACTTTATCATTTATTTTCCCTCTGAGAAAATGGTAAAAGAAGTTGTCATATTTGTACTGAAAAGTATTAATTTTATTGAAAACCTGTGAACAGCTTTTTGGAACTTGGGTAAGAGCACTTCAGTCAAATATTTCAGGACACAATGTGGGCTAAAACTCCTCTTTAGTTTCAAATAAAAGAGAAAATAGAAAGGAACTTGTACTGTAAAGGAAGGATTCTGCTACATAAGTGTGGTGTGATTTTCCCTTTAAGCTAATTACTGTAGTGCTTCAAGTGAGATGGAGGGAAGAAATGAGATGCTGAGCTGAGATGCAGCCTTGGCATTATGTTTCCCAGAAACTGGAGTCTCATGGTTGATTCAAAGCTGAAAAGACAGTAGCTTCTTTGACCTTTTGAAATTTCTAACTGCTATGCTTATTTCCAGCGATTTAAATGACTAAGCAGCTGAGATGCGCAACTCTAGGACTTAATATGATGTCATCATGATAAAACTGTTATTTATATTGATTAAGGCTTCTGAAAGTTCAGAAACATAAAGGTCTTTTTGTGGAAGAAAACATGCTGGCTTTTTAAAGTGTAGCATGTGACTGAAGAAGAAGTGACAGACATACTTGCACTGTATATTGTGCTCTTTTAAAGAACTTTCCTGTCTACACATTTTTCTTAAGTAGCTGTGTACATTTTTTTCTCTAGCAATCACAAAGAGAACTGAATAGCAATAGAGAAGAAACTTCAAAGGTTTCTACATTTAGTCTAGTTTTGAATGAGAAGAAAAAACAAACCCCCCAAAGCTGCCAGGCATTAGGCAGGATTTTGAGACCAGCCTTTGCTCCATGTTATTCCAGATCCTCAGTGCTGAGCAGGACACTTGTGGAGGAGATGGCATGCTGTCAGCCAGTCTCTTTGTTCATGAGAGGGCTCAGACTTTAGTTACATGGTTGGAGAAGAAGAGGACAAGAAGTTGTCAGGGGCACAGTACCAATAAAATAGGTTTTGGGTCACTAAAGGCCTCAAGTACAAATAGCTAAAACTTCTCACAGAAAGATCTATTGGGCTGAGAAAGCTGATTCTTGCAGTGACTGTAGGTTGATCTGTCAGGGGTTTTGAAAGTTTTTTTCAAGTTATTGCAGTCCATTTTGCTTATGTTGTAATCAGTCACAAAGTCCTACTTTAGAGACAGGGCCACATCATGAATGACCTTCCTCATGTAATTATTTTCCCACAGCAGCCTACAGGAACATCACAACTCATTTCATTAACATTATGAATTCATAGTCTAGGCTTGTGTGAGAAAGAGACAAAGAGAAATGTAAAATAAGAAATATAATTGACTGTGGTATTATACTACAATAACCATGGAATTCTAAATGTTCTGAACTCTGCAGCTAGATTGCACTACACTTCCTTTCATATAAAGAATTTTTTTTCATCTTTAATAGCTTCCATCAAAATTTACTCTTAAAGAATTCACTCTTTGAGAAAAGTTAATAGGGCAGGATTAACCACACTGCATTTTAGACCAAATAGTTTATTTGTGGGAAAAAAAAAAATACTATCTTAGCGCACAATGCTCATCTCATCCTTCATCAAACAAGCAGAATTACATAGATGTTCCACCCAGCCTCACCCATGTCAGAAATTCACATCCTATGGGGATCACTGCCAATCTTCATCTCTATGCCAAGAGCACAAGTAACCATTTATATTTAAAAAAAAATACCTGGATTTAGCTCAACACTTCATTTTATGTAAGAATCATATACTACTGGGTCATTTAGTCTCAATTTACTAATTGAAGCTACCTCCAAATAAGCAACAACAGAGCAGAATATTCAGTGGAACACCTGCAAAACATTTCAAGAACATAAGTCCTTCCTCCAACCCCACACACACAAATGGAGAAGAGCATACAACTCAGAGCACTGAAAATACTCAATCTTCTTTCATTCACAGCAGTCCTGGAGCACCAGAAATAGTGATAAATCCTGGTGACCAAAGCACTGGGTTGGGAAGGTGAGGAAACCCCTTGCCCACTGCAGCAGGACCTCACAGTGCAATCAGTACTTTCACAGGAGCCCCATGAACAGGCTGGCTCCAGCTCTGTCACTCATGGTGTGGAAGCTGATTCTGTAAGCAGCATGAGCACATCATACAAAGTGTGGCCATGGAACTTCCCCAAGGCTTAGGTAGCAATGAAAATATTCAATATGTGCTTCCATCACTCTGTTGCCCCACAGACAACTCCCACTTTCAAGAGGTCAGAAGAGAGCTGATGTCTTCCCCTGTGAGCTGTGTCATCCCTGCTGAGATGCTGGCCCTGTCAGCCATGGGAATCCATCTGCTCAAGAAACTTATAAATGAAAGTAGAGAAATTCAGAATGTGCTCACTTATCAAACCCAAAAGCCTTCCACAGAATGACCCTGATTAAACCAGCAGGGCAGCATCCATGAGGTCTTTCTTTAGCTACACTTTTCTTCTGAAAAAAGCAATAGCAGCCCAGAAACTCCACAGAAATCCAAGCTTGCTGGCACTCAAAGAAATCAAGGAAAATATGTCCATTGGGTAGAATCAAACAACATTCATTTTTATTTTTGTAACAGCAATTATCCTTTTTAAGACTTCATTATTTTCATCAAATGCCTTGATCACAATTTCCTGCTTTTAAGTTGGACTTAAGCACTTTATTGTTTAACTTGTTGGAAGGCCAGATTCTGAAAGTCACTTCTGGGCTAGCTTGTACTTCCCTGTGACTGTGCAATACCTTGACATAAGCACCATCAGCCAGTGGTAGAAACTGGTGGAAAACGTAGCCTACACAGCGACTCAGTGAAAGCCCCAGACCATAATTGGAATATCTTCATTTACTTTAAAACAAATTCAGTTGGCCCCAACTTACTTGTGAGTTTCAGGAAACTGTTCCTGAGTACTCATTAATCATGCTGGAAGGCTGTTTACTGGTTGCCACTTCAAAACGCTAGTCTTAAATGACCTCTCTTATTGACTCTTTTTGAAAAATGAAGAAAGGAAGAGGCAGAAGCATGAAATGAAATGCACCAAACAGTGGAAACAGTCCCTTTAAATACTTTTAGCTGGTGCTAGTAGTAAAAGCTTAGGGGTGGAGTGACAGTGCTGGCAGATATAGTTTTCAGAAGAGATTTATATAAAGTTGCTGTAGGGCAGAGAGCATGAGTATTGCATTTCAAAAACCAAACAAGCCCTCCACCCATAAAAAAACCAAACCTTAACCCTTGGGTGAAAACTATATAAAGTTCCAAATGAGAAGCCACTTGAGCAATGGATTTATCCATGATTCCTTGGATTACTGGTAAGTAATTTGGCTGAATGTTTTTGTTCTAGGGCATTAGTTTTGCATTTTTCCTTGGGAAATGCTGCAGTAACAAACAGCAGAGACCAAATTACCATAAAAGCAGGTCAATTATTTCTATGGAAATTGTTCAGAAGGAAAGAAACAATGCACAGATTCTCTTAAGCTGCACTTGATGATGATGACAGAAAAGTAATGGCTGATAGAAGGCAGTGTGTACTGTTGGGTGACAGCTTTGTTGCTGACAAACTACGGTGAACATTTGTATAATGCACTGCATGGCTGGCACTTAGAACTGATGGCGGGGTAGATCCTCAGCTGATGCCACCCTGCTTACTCCAGAGCTACACTGGTGCTCACCAGCTGAGGTGTTCAGGATCTATCCTGAATGTATCTATTATTTACATTGCATAAAATAAGGCAAAATAAACATTTCTTTGTCACCCATACAGACAGAGAAGATTTAAAGAGGAAATGCAGACACAAATTAGTTTATGCAAATTGCCTTCAGGGAATCATACAGAGTTCTTACAGCCCAAGAGTCAGTGCAACACATTTACCCAGTTCACAAATAAAAAAGACCCCTCCCCACCACCACCCTAAATGGTAGGTATTTAAACTTAGTGTTAAGTCCTTTATGGCTTATCAACAGAAATGAAGATGCAGGAAATGCTGCCCAGTGTTACTACAATGAAATATTAGCACTTTCAGAGTAAAGTCACACCTGTATCTGAAGGCATATCTAAAATTAGTACACTAATACATGTAACCCATCAAATGGTAACCAGCTCAAAGCACCACTGATGAAGTATGAAGCAGAAGAGAATATGATTCGTTCCACTGTGCACTACATAAACATACACATAAAACACATAATTTTATTATTGTTAGAAGGATTTTATTATTATTTCCTCTGCAAAATATTTTTCCTTTTCAAGGGTTGTACTGCATGACAAAGAAATTGTCTTTATTCCAGTCTGTATGGTGATGACACAAATGACTTTGCCCAATAAGCCAACGGCAGAGCTGCGAACCGAGGTCTGCTGAGTTACAGTCCATTATTCTATCCACTGGATTCCTAATAAAATATTACTTTTTTGTTTATTTGTATGCAAAGTGAATATAACCAGGGAGAGCATTTGCCAAGGATGGAGGCACTGTTTTTCCCTAGCTCTTTCCAGGACACACCTATGCTTCATATACTTCAGTTTGCAAGCAACCAAGAAAGCAGGTACCACAAACAGTTACAAGGGCTACCTAGGGGCTATCTGCTGTGAGAGGGGTGACAAAAGCCTTGAGGGGACATTAGGTAGTTCCTCAACATACAAGTGCTCATAGGAGAATTTGACTTACT